AAATCTGGCTCCGAGTCGAGCCGCATCGGCAATGCGGCGCGATCCTCCAACCCCATCTGCCCTGACCCCATCTGGGATGCCCAGATTTGGACGCTCGCAATGGGTGCGGAAAAACTGCATACGATACCCGACAGCAAGTGTTACCCAAAACTAACAGCTGCCGCTGTCGGGCAGTCGGCCGCCTGTCTTAAGCGGACAACGTCCGCGACGACACCGACAGCGAGTCCTGTTCACAATGAACAGGAAACGCTGCCGGGCCTAGATGGAGGAACAAACAATGGCATGAACATAACAACTCGGAGGTCCGTGCTGATTCCTTGGACCGGCGCTGGACCTCCCTCCATGGCGCGCGGAGCGTGCCAGGGGCGGCGCCAGCGGCGCCGCCAGGGGAGCCCAGCGCCTGTCCGAGGAATCCGCTTGGACCTCCGAGTTGTTATAATTTTCCCCATTTCCTAAGATGGGGTTCTTGTTATTGCTCGGACGCCGCCGACTCCAGAGAGAACACACCTACTCATACACAGACTTACTCATACTCAGACCTACTCATACTCAGACCTGATCATAGTCTGACATACTCAACACACAACATGCAGGCCTACTCATACTCAGACGTACACATACACGGACTTACTCATACACAGACTTACTCATATTGAGCCTCATACCCAGACGTATTCATACACATACTTACTCATACTCATACCTACGCAGAATCAGACCTTCTCATAGCCTGAGTTGCTCAACGCACGGACTGAGACCTATTCATACTCAGACCTAGTCATACTCAGACTTACTCATGCTCAGACTCACTCACACACAGACTTACTCATACTCAAACTCATACCCAGACGTACTCATACACAGACTTACTCATACTCAGACCTACACATACTCAGACCTTCTTATAGTCTGAGCTACTCAGCATATTCTGATTTCAGAGCAGATTGTGAGGATGTCTCAGGCGGGATCACGAGGGCATAAAAGCAGTATCAAAAAATGGAAGCCCACGATGTCCATATATTGTCATGGAAGGGCCGGCGGAGGCGAGGAGGGGAAGCAACATGGGGAGGATGGATGTGTTGGACGCGGTCAAAGGAGGTCGATCTGTGAACTGCGATGTATTTGTTTAATGCTGGGAGGGGTTTGCCCTTTCCCCGACTCGGCCTCATAAGAAGGAGTCCTTCCCTGGAGGTCGGAAGGGCCTCCCGTGAGCCGTCCGCGGAGCTTATATGGCTCAAGATAACGCTGACGGGCCTGATGTATCCCCTGGTAACTTTCAAGATGGCGCAACGTAGTTCTACATGTGTCAAAGCTGGCTTCACGTATTTCCCAAAGGCTTCAAGATGACCTGACGATTATTACAAATGCCCTGCCACTCCGCAGAAGAAATCCCCCAGGAGGGAAACGCAGTAGAAGCAATATGGTTATCGCTGTGCTCTGCATTCTCGTACATTCGCCTCTCATGAGCTTCTGAGACCTCAAAGTGGCCTCAAAGTGGTTCTCGAGAACTCGCAGAGGGCTTACAGAAAGCCCTCGAACCTGTCAAAGCCCGCTCAGTCCAACAACCTGCCAGGATAGGTGAACGTGATATTGGGAATGCTGGAGAGGTGGGGAGTGCAACAACCCTGATAAAGAACACGGTATTCGCCTAGCCGCTCAGTTGAGCAGCCTGCCAGGGAAGGGAAACGTGACATTCGAAGGCTGGAGAAAGAGAAACTGAGAAAAATAACAACAACTCGGCGCTCCTCCGCACTCGACTCCTCCCAGTCCTCGATCCACCAACCTCAAACCCCTATCCTCCAACGTCGATCCTCAAACCTCGAACGTAGATCCTGGATCATGGATCCTCGATCCTCACTCCTCGAACCTTGAATCTTGATCCTCGCTCCTCGAAGCTCGATCCTCAATGGGTCTTGGATCGTCGATCCTGGATCCTAGACCCTCGCTCCTCGACCCTCACTTCTCGACGCTCGCTGGTGGATCCTCGAACCTGGAACGTTAATCCTCTCTCCTCGAAGCTGAATCCTGAATCCTGGATCCTGGATCCTCGAGCCTGGATCCGCGATCCTCTGTCCTCGATCGTATATCGTCCGACCTCGAAACCTGGATCCTCGAATCTCGCTCAACGATCCTCGCTCCTGGAATCTCGATCTTCAAAGCTCGACCTCGCTGCCCGATCCTCGAAAGCGCAGCCCCGTCCAGCCGCGGTAAAGATGACTGGCAGGGCCGCCTTGGAGGGGGGGCACAAAGCCGTGTAAATAGTCTCTGGCGGGGCCTCCCTGGAGGGGTGGGAAGGGGGCGAAACCTTGTAAATCATATTGCTTGCGAATACCCAGCTCGCTCTGGCGGAGCCTCCCTGGAGGGGTGGGAAGGGCACGAAACATTGTCAGTAAGATGGTTTGCGAATAACTTGCTCGCTCTGGCGGGGCCGCCCTGGAGGGGTGGGAGAGGCACGAAACATAGTAAATGATATTGTGGAATGGCACGAAACGTAGTAACTAGTATGGTTTGCAAATGCCCCGCTCGCTCTGGCGGGGCCTCCCTGGAGGGGTGGGAGGCGCACGAACCTGATAATAAATAGTATGGTTTGCGAATGCCCTGCTCGCTCTGGCGGGGCTCCCCTGGAGGGGTGGGAAGGGCACGACACCTGATAAATAATATGGTTTGCCAATGCACTGCTCGCTCTGGCCGGGCGTCCCTGGAGGGGTGGGAGGGGCACGAAAGCAAATCAAACATATGGTTTGCGAATGCCCTGCTCGCTCTGGCCAGGCCTCCCTGGAGGGGGTGGGAGGGGCACGAAACCTGATAAATAATATGGTTTGCGAATGCCGTGCTCGCTCTGGCGGGGACTCCCTGGAAGGTTGGGAGGGGCACGAAACCTGATACATAGTATAGTTTGCGAATGCCCTGCTCGCTCTGGCCAGGCCTCCCTGGAGGGGTGGGAGGGGCACGACACCCGATAAACAGTATGGTTTGCGAATACCCTGCTCGCTCTGGCGGGGCCTCCCTGGAGGGTTGGGAGGGGCACGACACCTGATAAATAATATTGTTTGCGAATGCCGTGCTCGCTCTGGCGGGGCCTCCCTGGAGGGGTGGGAGGGGCACGACACCTGAGAAATAGTATGGTTTGCTAATGCCCTGCTCGCTCTGGCGGGGCCTCCCTGGAGGGGTGGGAGGCGCACGACACCTGATAAATAATATGGTTTGCGAATACCCTGCTCGCTCTGGCCAGGCCTCCCTGGAGGGGTGGGAGGCGCACGAAACCTGATAAATAACATGGTTTGCCAATGCCCTGCTCGCTCCGGCGGGGCGTCCCAGGAGGGGTGGGAGGGGCACGAAACCTGATAAATAAAATGGTTTGCGAATACCCTGCTCGATCTGGCGGGGCCTCCCTGGAGGGATGGGAGGGGCACGAAACCTAAAGCAAAAAATGGTTTGCGAATGCCCTGCTCGCTCTGGCGGGGCCTCCCTGGAGGGGTGGGAGGGGCACGAAACCTGATAAATAATATGGTTTGCGAATGCCGTGCTCGCTCTGGCGGGGCCTCCCTGGA